TCCATGCAGGGAGCCCGATGTGGGACTCTATATCGGATCCCGGGATCATACCCTGAGCAAAAGGCAAACGCTCAACCGCTGAGCCACCCAGGCATCCCCCATTTTATCATTTTTTAACAGAGTAATCTCTACACCCAGTGTGGGTCTCGAACTCATGTTCCTGAGATCAAGAGTCTCATGCTCCACTGACTGAGCCAGCCAGGCACCCTGCCATTTTATCCTATTTATATGTGGGAAATTGTGGCTCAGGGATATTCTATGACATCACGCAAATCGGTGATGGCAGGTGTAGGTTTTACTTGATCCTCAGCATCCCTTTTCTGTTCATTCCTCTCTCATTTTGGAACTAAGATGCCCAAGATGTAACTAGTTTGGGTCGACTACTTGGAAAGTAGTATAACAAGGTAAGATTGGTTAACCTTATTTTGAACTTTTAGGGGGTCCGGTGTTAGGTATAAACCTCTATAGACATTGCAGAACTGGCCCAGAGAGCCAACTTGTGACCCGGGGAGGGATTGCTGGTGCTCTGACCCGTGGGATGTCATTCCAGACATCAGATGTGCTGTCTGTATCCTTTGGCCCATCCTGGAAGAGAACCTTAGGAAACGTGGCAGGTCTGGTGCTCTGGAGAGAATGTAATACATTTCTTATTATTCAGTTCCCTATGGCTCTTTCACAAATAACCCCACATTTCGCAGCTTAATTTATCATTCTGTATTCCAGCTCTGTGGAATGACTGGGCTTAGCTGGGCCATTCTTGCCTGCTGTTTCTCTTGTGGTTGTGGTCAGATGGCAGCCGATTGGAACCCTCTGGGGGTTTGACTGGCCTGGATCACGTGTCTGACAGCTGATAACTGTTTCCTTTTGCTAGCTGCTTTAATGATATGGTTCTACGTCTTGATAAAGCCCCTATTGATGGACATAGAGGTAGTTCCTGGTCTTTTGCTATTATAGACAGAATTTTTGCCATTACAGATATGTGAAATACACTCTGGAATAAATCTCACATTTAGGAATTTGTCCTATAAATATTCCTTCCTTTCCGAGAATTGAAATAGTCTGGCAGAAGCTGACTTCATCAGCCATGGTCTTTTGCCATGTAATTAACCTTATGTCTTTCAATAGGGCCCTTTTAAGGCTTCAAATATAGTTTGTTGATGTCTGGATGCTGGATTGTCATAGAGAGAGGGAGGTGGCAAACAGTCCTTCATGGGTTGGAGGATGCACCTTGGGGAAATTCCCTAATGAGCCCCCTGGTGCTGGCTCAGTTTTCTATTCTGTGCAATGGAGATGTATACGAAGGTGGAGAAATGGAAAAATTGCCTTTGTTGAAGCACACGTGGGGAGTTTCTATTTGTGTTCCGAGAAAACCAGAGGAAAACTCTCCCTGGGACTGGGGTGGGGGCAGGGGGGAGGCTTAGTTCCCAGTCTCCTCCCCTGTTCTCATGTTCTCCCCTGTGTAAAAAGACTTTGTGTATCATCTTGGTCAGATGATCTATTGGCCCTGCACTCCCTTAAATTGTCACTAACCTCCTTTCTTTTCTTTTCTTTCTTTCTTTTCTCTCTCTTTTTTTTAAGATTTTACTTATTTATTCATGAGAGACACACACACACAGAGAGGCAGAGACATAGGCAGAGGGAGAAGCAGGCTCCATGCAGGGAGCCCGACATGGGACTTGATCCCTGGACTTCAGGATCACGCCCTGAGCTGAAGGCAGATGCTCAACTGCTTGAGCCACCCAGGTGTCCCACCTCCTTTCTCTCTACCCTTCAAGATGTTTCTTTTCAAACAAAATAGTGCCAGTGATTGGAGGTTTTCATCTGGGGCTGTAATAGAAGGTATCCATTTTACGTGTAGAGCATTTTAAAAATAGGAATTGACCAAAAGGCTTCAAGTCAACAGGAGTTCGGGTTTGGACTACAAGTTTGCAAGTCTTTGAGAATGTTCTGCAGGAGTACAGGTCTAGCTTTCTCCATGTTCGTAATCACATTATCTGGATCGGTTGTCTATGTTCTGTTTTATTAGGCACTCACCAGCTCTCAGTGACCTTTCTCCTGTGTAGACTGGCCTTGAGAAGCTCCGGGTATATTCAGTTGCCAAGACTTGGGTCATATTTAGTCTTTTTATTATTTATTTATTATTTATTTATTTATTATTTATTTATTTATTTGAGAGAGAGAGAGAGAGAGAGAGAGCATGATCACGATCAGTGGGGAGGAGCAGAGGGAGCGGAAGAAGCAGACTCCCTGATGAGCAGGGAGCCTGATGCAGGGCTGGATCCCAGGATTCTGGAATCAGGACCTTAGCCAAAGGCAGACACTTAGCCAGCTGAGCCACCCAGGTGCCCTGGGTCTTATTTAGTCTTTTCACATCCTTTCAAGGGCTTCAGTCCCCAGAATGGGGACTTTTGGGCAAGGCGAAGACCTGCCCTGACCTGGTGACAGAAATAGGAAAGCCTTGGGCTCATCTGGGTCTCCCTCAGGATGAGTGCCAGGCCCTACACCTGTGGGCTTGCAGGGCAGAGGTGGGATGTGAGCAGTTGGAGGCCGAGGATATCTAGCCACCACTCAACAACCCAACTCCTCTGTGCCTTCTCATGCCCACTCTGCCTTTTGAATAGAGCTGAGTTTCTATAGAGCCCTGAGGTAGAGCCCCACAGAGGATACTACCCTCTCTTCCTTAACTACTTTCTTGGGCTCAGGCTAGCCCTATGGAACCACACACAGTCCTCCGTTTCCCACTGCCCTTTTCTGGAATTACTCTTTGCCATTGTCATTCTCTTCCTCCTCATCTTTGCCTGGCTAAGGGGCTCACTTCCTTGGAAGCACCTGCCCTCACACCCTATACATGTGCAGTAGGTCCCTCTCTGAGTTGTCCATTGTCCAGATGTCGGAGGCCTTTTGACCAATCTGCTACCCCAATAGACTGGCAGTATCCTGGGGATAAGTCATCCTCGTGACTGTACTGCCTCCAGCTCTGAGCACAGGGCCTGCTGCCGATTGGGCACTCCATATGCCACCTGAGACACGTTAAGCTCCATGCAGATGAAGAGGCCGACTGAGTAACTGTGTTCTGGGGTCCTTTGCCTTCCCTGAGTCTCTTTGTATTTTGCCACTTGTGAGCCACTGCCCATCAACATTCTTTTATGCACCAGCCCAAGTCTGAGCTTGGGGCATGGGGAGCAGGAATGTGCACAAACACTTGCTAACTTCTGCAAAAGGCATTTAGTTGAGGAAACAAGAAGAACGCTGAGGAAACATCTGTGCATGATGGAACCCTCTGGAACGAGTGGAATAAAGTACCAAACTGTGTGTGGGCCAGTACTTGAGCTTCACATCTTCAGTACCATCCATGCCCTAGTGGCCTCTCCTGGGAGCTGGTTAGAGACACAGCATCTAGATTCCACCACACCTCCTGAATCAGAACCTGCATTTTAACAAGACCCCCAGGGAATTCATGCACACACGAGGGTTTGAGGGCCCTCGTCTGAGGGATACAGACAACAGTTTGGGCAAGAAGCTAGCTGCAGTAGTTGGAGAAGCTGCATCAGGGAGGGAACAGTTGAGCTGGGTCTTAGTGGGGGGGCAATACTGAGGGGGGAGGGAAGCAGAAGGGTGTTGGTGGTGATGGAGGTGTTGAGGCAGGCAATGACCAACTCTTCCTGTTAATGATGTGTGTATGAAAATAAAGTTATTAGGCCCTTTTGTAAATAGCAGAGCAATTGGATCAAGCTTCTAAAGGATTTGATTTGGTAGCTTGGAAACCTTTGATAAATATATCAGATCTGGTGTTTTCACCACTTACTTATAGATTCCTTTTTCTTCCTTAGAGGCTGCTAACATGGTCAAGGGAACATGGGACCAGAAGCCCAGGGCCTGGGGTTTGGAAGCTGTGGGATGCTGACCAAGGCTCGCTCCAAAATGATCATTTTGTTTGTTCATACTCTGGTGGGTTAGAAGCTGAAGCATGGCCCGGCAAGGCAGTTCTACCCTGGGAGGAGTGGCGGGAGCCACTTAGGGGCTGGCAGCCATGGGCTGAGCTGGAAGGCCACAGAGGTTTTAGCTGGCTCCTCAGTGCCCCTCTGAGTGGCCTTGCCCTCCACATGGCTGCTTGGACTTCCTCGAAGCATCGGATGTCTTACATGGCAGCTGGCTTCCAAGAGGGAATGTGTGGAAACTTTAAAGTCTTTTTTGTGTTGGTTTTGGTTTTACAGAGAGATAGCAGAATGTGCATGAGCTGGGGGAGGGGGCAGAGAGAGAAGGAGAGAGAATCCCAAGGAGGCCCCATGCTTGCTCAGCAGGGGGCCACAAGGAGACCGTCTCAATCTCACAACCCTGAGATCATGACCTGAACTGAGATCAAGTCGGATGCTCCACTGACTAAGCCACCCGGGTGCCCCAGCTGCTAAGTCTCTTAAGACCTAGAATTTACACAGGCCCTGCCCAGATCCCAGGGGAGAGGAAATGGTTTCCATCTCTTGATGGATGGAGCAGCATGCAGGCAGGGAGGAGGGAATTGACTGTGTCTGTCTTTGGGGACTCTGTAGGACAGGCTCCCCGACGTCTCCAGGACCTGGACTCCTTTCTGCTCTTCCTCCTCAGCCCTGGCCCTCCTCTCAATCGTCCAGGCTGGCTGCTGGAGTTCTAGCCAGCGGGAAGGAGTAAAGGAGAATGAGGGCACCACCTTCCCCTATGGAAGGAGTATATTTCATTAGGGACTTGCTGTCAGGCTGGCAAGTGTAGACATTTAGCTGGGGGCTGTTGGACCCAGAAATCAGAAGTCTATTCTGAGGAAGAAGGGGAGAATCAATGCTGGGGAAAGCTGCCGGTTGTTTCTCTCGCCTTCCCCAAAGCCAAGAAGACCCTCTGGGAAGTGTTAGGAGTCAGGAACCCCAGGCTGGGCAAGCCTGGAGACATAGGGAGGTGCATTCCCAGGCTGAGCCCACCTGGTGTGCCCACTCTGCACCAGGACCCTCACCCTCTCTCTCTCCCTGTCCCAGTTCACCACAGGCACGTGCAGCGACCCAGCGGCCCACAACTGTGATCTGTGCGGCAAGGGCTTCCGCCTGCAGCGCATGCTCAACCGCCACCTCAAGTGCCACAACCAGGTGAAGAGGCACCTGTGCACCTTCTGTGGCAAGGGTTTCAATGACACCTTTGACCTGAAGAGGCACGTCCGCACGCATACAGGTGAGGAAGGGGGCGTGTACTTCGCGGCTGCTTTTGTCCTCCTGGCCAATGGAGTTCCTGCTCCTTCACCACCAAAGAACCAGATCAAGAGCTTGGGGCGGTATCGAATTTCAGGAAAGATTGAAGGCTGGGGGCATTTGAGGCCAGCACCTCTGGGCTCACCTCCTGGTTGTGCCAGCACCAGCTGAGTCACCTTGTGCCCGGCAAGCCTCTTTTCTGACAGTTTTCATTCACCTCTGTAAGATGTGGTAATGGTCCAAGTTCTAGGACCACTCAAGACAGATCACTGGCTGGGAGTGTTCTGAGGATTTGTGAAGTTGGACGCAAGGCTGGGGGCATAGCTCAGCCCTCATCCAACTGACTGCTAGTGTGGGTTCTCATGCCACTGGTGGTGTCTTCTGCTCCTTTGTTGGGATGCAAGCCTGTCTCAGAATGATTTCCTAAGAGCTCAAAAAGAGAAGGAAATGTTCGGCTCGTATGTGAGGCTGGCAAGTGTCTTCCTCCCTTCATTTCTTGCTCAGTTTCCTGACTTACAAAGCATGGATCTGGGTCCTTACCAGCTCAGTTTACAGAGAATCCTAGAGGTGCCCATTGATCTCTCTCCCAGCCCCCTGACTAGTTAAGGCCTCTTTAGCTGTCATTTGGAAACATCTGACCTTTAGGCTGCCCTTTGAGGTCCACAGTTCCTCAAAGGCTCTCCTTTGAGGCCCACTTGAAAAGAGGGCTCTTTGGAGGATGATTCTAAGGATGCCATTTCCTTGCTGAAAAATCTTCAACTCTGGGTCAGATGAAATCCAGACTCCTCATCTTGATGGGCTTCATGTAAAGCTCCTTACAATCTGAGTTGCATCTTCAAATCCCCGTCCTGTCCTGTCCCATCCTATCCTATCCCATTTCGTCTCATTTAAACCCATCCCTTCCTAACCATTCAACCCCGTCCTGGTCATGACCCATTCTCCCGATAGTCCCATAGCATTTATTATCTATAGTCTCCTGATCCTTAAACCCTTTCAGAGTTTGGGGTTTCCTTTGGCATCTTGGGATAGGAAAGTGTCCACTCCTCCCTCCAGATGGAGTTCCCTGTTCTTTAATTCTCACACAGGGCCCCCCTCTCTGATCCTCCGTATTCAGATTTCTTTTATAGCTCTTATCACACTGTTTTGTGCTGGCCAGGAGCTGTTTCCCAGGCCAGAGTGTCATCCACCTGAGAGAGTGGGCTGGCACACCCAAGAGTTTCTTTTTCCTTTTAAGAAACCTTTTCTCAAGTGGATTTTTCATTTGAATGTAGCATGCATCCAGAGGAGCACACAGATCATAAATGTACAGTTTGACAAGTTTAGGAATTTTCACAAAATGAACACACCCACGTAACTAGCACTGAGATCCAGAAACAGAATACAGCAGTCCCCCTTATCCACGGGGATACATTCCAAGACTTCGGTGGATGTCTGAAATCCCAGGTAGTGCCAAACCCTATATATTCTATGCTTTTTCATATATATACGTATATATATACACACACCTATGATCAAGTTTAATTTACATATTAGGCATAGCAAGCGATTAACAACAATAACTGGTAATAAAATAGAACAATTATAGCAGTATATTGTAATAAAATTTAAGTGAATGTGGTCTCTCTTTCTCAAAATATCTTATTATACCAAACTCCCCCTTCTTCTTGTGATGATGTGAGGTGATAAAATGCCTGCAAGATGAGATGAAGCGGGGTGAGTGACGCAGACATTGTGATGTAATGTTAGGCTACTGACCTTCTAATGATACGTTAGAAGGAGGATCATCTGCTTCTGGGCTGCGGTTGACCATGGATAACTGAAATCGCTGAAAACAAAGCCACTGATAAGGGGGACTGCCATACTTCCAGCCCCCAGAAGTCACGGCTTCTCCCTCTGTCGCTGTCACCTTTCCTCCAAGAGGCACGACTAGTGTGACTTGTAACAGCATGGATGACTGTCTGGTTTTGAGCATGGTAGAAATGGAATCATATAGTGTGTACTCTTCTGGGTCTGGCTGTAAAGCTTCTTTATTAGTCCCTAGCACCAGGGAATCAGTGAAAGTTTGATCTCTGTGTGGCCAGGCTAGCTCCTTAGGGTGGCACAAGGAGAATACTTAGTGGTGGGCCAGGGGTCCTGTGGGTGGTAGAGCATCCTGAGGGGGGGCAGGTGGAGCGTTCTGTAGGATGTGGGGAGTCCTGTATGTGGTGGAAGGTCCAAGGCTATCAGTGGATCCATCAAGTGGCTGGGCTCAAACACAGCCGACCCAAGGGGCTGGAGGAAGTTGGGGACTCCTCACTCAGTCATCTGTCACTGGCTGTCCTGGAGTGTTTCTTGGCTTTCCATCTCTGTCTGAAGATGTTCTTGAGGACGTGGCCTGCTTCTCCTGAAACTCTTTGCCTGGTGGGCGCAGTGATTACCCCCTGACCCTGACCTTTAAGACAAAGTGAAGTGGGCTCAGGGGTCATTGCCGGCTGATTGGAGTAAAGCACTGAGCCCATGGGGCTGCCTCATCTGTGACTGAGTTGACTCTGTTAATGGAAATATCAGGGACTGACTGCTTCTCTGAGAAGAGTTTGCAGGTTGAGTCAGTTGCACTGTGCTTAAAAACTACAGATCAGAGCTAGCTGATTGTGCAACCTTGTCTCGATTTTTTAAATCTTTTTTTTTTGGGGGGGGGTATCTTAGTTTGTCCATTTCTAAAGTGGGCATAGGTTTAGTACCGATCACCGAAAATAATGGTTGTGTGGTTTCAGGATAATAATTGCATATAAAGTGCTTCATACATCATAAGCACTTAGTAAATATTAACTATTATTAGTAGTAAACATTCAAATAATTGGCAGAGGTTTCCTGAGACCCTGCTATGTGACAGGCCCTAGGATTCCCCTCTGTGCTCATGGAGAGCTCAGCCAGCATGGGGTGAAATAACTCAGACATCCGACTGTCACAGGAGAAAAAACTGCAGAGGTGTTAAGCAAGAAAAAGTAGCCCAAGCCTCTGGGGGGCTTGGCAAGTGCATTGTTTCTGCCAGGGCACCAGAGAGACTTCTCAGAGGTGTCCTTTTGGCCAGTCTTAAAGGATGAGCCAGATCTCCATAGCTAGATAGAAGGAGGAAGGGCCTCGCAAATGCCAAGTGTCTGAGTTTGGGTTGCAGACCCTGACCTAAGGATTTGATTGTAAGCAGTTTATTTGGAAGGTGATCTCAGGAGGCCCTGTGGAGAGTTACAGAGGGGAGGGGGGGAGACAGCCAATAGGAGCAAGCTAATGAGCAGGATATCACTGTGAGTAACTGGGGCTCAACCCCACTGGGGATGCCCTGGAGAACCACATAGAATGCACCAGAGAATTGCTCCAGGGATGATGAAGCTGGGGTATTTATCCAGCAACTCCCATCCCTCCTTGATGGGCATCCATCCTGGGGCCTCATTTCCTAGGCACCTCTTCCCCCCCAGCAGCGAGATGCAGGAAGCCACCGACTTTCCTGGAACTGAGGTGACCCAGTGGAAGGCTGGGGAGTGAGCAAGTGAGGAAGATGGCTTGGCAGAGACTGGGAGTCTCTGCAGAGGGTGACACAGCTTCTTCAGATGGCAGCAAGCTGCGAGTAGTCACTTGCCTTCATGCCAGGCCCTCAGCATTTATCCTGCTATCTCAACCCCAAGGAGTTCACAAGCCCCACCTCACAGATAAGGAGACGAGGCTCAGGGTGGTCAAATAACCATAGGTGGTGGAGTTGAGAACCAGCTCCGTGCTGGAGTTCACAGTTTTCCATTTTGTCAGTCCCCTTCTCTGTCCCCTTCACCTCCCAGTGCCTTCCTCACTCAGTTTTCTCCCTGAGGCTGGGGGCTCACCAGCCCGCCCCATTCCAGTTACTAGAAGCTTACTTGCTCTGCAAGAATGTGAGGTGAGGGGACACTCAGGCGTGGCACAGACTTCGCCCTGCAGCCTGGCAGTGAGCAGGTTGCACAGAAGCCCAAGTGTGCGTGTTTGGTGGCGCCAACATACCCATTCAGTGAGCGAGGAAGACTCAGACTCCTGACTGAGCTCCTCCATCTCTTTCTCCTCAAAGGTGACATTCCTAGTGACTCATAGAGCGGCTGAAAGTTACTGAAGTTGATGAATCATAATGTCTTCCACCTAGTGTTTTCCACAGTTTACCCATGAAGGGGGGCATCTAAGAGGGGGAAAATGCAGCCATCCCAGCCACAGCAGGCCCGGCCACAGGTAGCCTCCAAGCCCCCAACCTGCTGCTGGTCCGGCTGAGATGTGCTGTTACGCGTAAAACCAACGCCAGATTTTGAAGATTGAATGCAAATTAAGAATGTAAAACACCTCAGTATTTAATGTTGATTCCACGCTGGAATGCTAATATTTTGAAGACGGTGGGTTAAACAAAATATATCATTAAAATTGCATCTGTTTTCTTTTTACTTATTTTTACTTAACCTTTTAAAAAAGATTTTACTTATGTATTCATGAGAGACACACAGAGAGAGAGAGGCAGAGACAGGGGCAGAGGGAGAAGCAGAAGGGGGGGAACTTGATCCCAGGATACGCCCTGAGCCAAAGGCAGATGCTTAACTGCTGAGCCACCCAGGAGTCCTTCTTTGTACCTCTTTTTAGAGAGAGAAAATGCATGCATAAGGGGGGTGAGGAGTGGGGAGGGAGGGGCAGAGGCAGAGGGAGAATCTTAAGCAGGTTCTACACCCACCCACCGTGAAGTCCCGATGCGGGGCTTGGACCCTGAGAGATCATGACCTGAGTCAAAATCAAGAGTCGATACTTAACTAGCTGAGCCACCCAGGTGCTCCGCTTTTTACTTATTTTAATGAGGCTATTGGGCATTGTGAGATTACAAAATGGCTTGCATTTTAATTTCTGTTGGATAGCATAGCCTGTAAGATCTAATCTAGAGAAAAAAAAAGATCGAATCTAGAGATAACGATTTAAAAAATTTTCAATCATAGTTTTGACTTTTAAAGTGAT